CACTTCTAACACATCTCTGATCGCCAAGAGGCAACCTCGTCATGGGGCACCTGCCCTGCAAGCCAGAAGCAGCGAGGCCCAGCTCCAGTGAGCCTGGGGAAGCTCTTGGCCATTCCATTTCCTTATTTATTAGACAAGGATATTAGTGTCTATCTCTTAGGGCTGTGGCATATCTCAAGTGAGATGGGATGAAATACTCCATAAGCTGTAAACTTGTGTGATTGTCCATTGTCATGATCATCTTCTTTAGAAAGCAGCTGATTCTGTGACTAGGCTGCTCTGTTACTAGAAGCTTACTCTCACTCTGCCCTCAAATCTGACCTTTTGTGCCCCCTACCTGCTGACCTCAGGCTGACCATCCAGAGCAACTAAAAAAACGCTGCACCCCCTTCTACGGAACAGTCCTTCACACAGCCAAAGACACTGAGCAAATGTGCCTTGACTTTCCTCTTACCTCAGTTTTCTCCACCAGTCCTTGGCTGCCAGGATTCACACCCCCTCACTACTCCAGCTGTCCTCTGTCAGGTGATCATTGCTTTCTCTGTACCACACGCACCAAGGTCCCCAGAACAGAACTCCATCCCCGGTTAGTACTGCCTGGGATCTGCCCGTGCTTCTCATAACACAGCTAAGATTATGCTAATGTTCAAGAAGCTATGTTGGCTCCTAATGACGGGGTGATCACTGAAATCCTCCATGCCCAGATCTTCAGCCGTGCTGCAGGCCAGGGCCTTGCCTCGGGTAGTTACAGAATCGAATCCCAGCACTTCACACTTCACTTCTATGCCATGGGTTTGGGTCAGTATCCTCACCTGCTGAGATCCTTTTAAATGAGTCTATGCCTTAAAAAAAAAAAAAAAAAAAAAAACAGAAAAGCATTCTTTCTAAGTTGTTATTCACATCATATGGGGGGGAAAAAAAAGGTTAAGAACAAAGACTGAAGCTGCAGGCTGGCTGCAGAGCTGCCCTGTCCAGCCTGGCAGCCACTAACCACAGTTCAACACTTGAAATGTGCCCCGTCCAAACGGAGACGTGCTGTAAATGTAAAGCACACCAGATTTCAAAGGTTTAGAACAAAAAAAGTAAAACATCCCAGGGATTTTTTTTGTATTGACTACATGCCAAAATAATACTTTGGATGTATTTAGACATATTAGGTTAAATAAAATACACTATAAAAATTAATTTCACTTGTTTCTTTAAAAAAAATTTTTAACATGATACTAGGAAATGCTGTCTCCTGTGGCTTGCATATTTCTGTGGGACAGCAAACTGTTCTAGAGATCTTTCTCCAAGACAACATCAATCAGCACTCCTGCTTTCAACATGGTGAATCTGCCCTGAGCTGTCCTCACCATCTCCTAATTCACATTTCACCATTTTAGCCATGAAGATATTCTGGGGAAGTTTTGCCAAATGCCTTCAATTTATATATTCAATACATTTCTGTTATAGCAACCTTTCTGAAGAGAGGGTGAGAGGAAGAGAGAGAAAATGAAAGGCTGAGACTCGGCCCGGCTCAAGTAAGGGAATCAACATGAAACAGCCCACGCCATGATCTCTGTGCAGAATTTGAGGAGCGCAGCAGTTAAGTGCCTGCATTTAACTTAGATTCTGAGACAGAATTACAGCTTAATAAACGTCTGCTAAACAAGTGGGCGATGAACAATCTGCCTGTAGTAGAACCTTTATTTAGCTCCTCCCCTCCAGGCTTTGATTTAGCCTAGGATAGACAGGGAACCCCTCGCCCCCAAAAAGAACATGCACTTTAGAGTCAGCAAAAGCTAACACTGCATCGTGGCTCCACCTCCTGCTAATTCTATGACCTTGGACATGTGACTTGACTTCTTGGTTTGCTCCCCTAGCACCACATACTTCTGTAGGTTTTCCTGGGGTCATAACCATTTTAACAGGACGGCTAGGCAGTGCCGCCCCTGCCAGTTTATGCTACTTCTGGTCTCCACCCTCACAGAGGACAGAGGCATGTACCAACAAGAGGCTCCTGCATCCTGACAGTGACTGGCACTGCCCGGCCACTTATTTTCTTGTCTTTAGCAGATATCTTTCTTTGAACCTCACAGTTCGAGAGTGGGAGATGGGTCTGGGGCTCAGATCAGTGCCAGAGGCCTTGTTCTATTGCTATTTGCATTTTTCTCCTTCCTTTTATTAGCTCTTCCCTTCCATTAACAAAAATATTTCTATTGAAAGCAAAGAAAAAGTTTGCCCTGTAACTAAAGAGGCACAAGCAGAATGTTCTAGACCTATACATCACTGCTTTTTTGAAACTTATCCTCCTGTAGTCTGACCCTGCTACAGCTATGGGACTAGGAAGCCCACTGCTGCCGCACCCGCCAACCCCCCTCCCCGCCCATCCCACCGCACCTTGTGGCCGACCTCTGGATCAGGGGTCAGCACCAGCCCAGAACTCATTGCATCGCCTGGCCCATGACAGTGACTCATTCCTTCAGCTCTCTGAACTGGAAGATCCAGAGTCAAGTTAGATGGTTTCAAGCTCTGGGATTGTAAAGCCTTGAAAAGTTGGGGACAGAGGCAGTACGAGGGTAACCTAAGTCACAGGTCAGTGGGTACTATGAGGGAACAGAAACAAGAGTCTTGCAGAGAAAGCTGTAGCTGACAGGGCACTGGAAAAAGCAGAGACAGGAGACCACACAACCTGAGAGAGACAGGGGAACAGCTGCCCCAACTCTGCCCCTCCTGCTCCTGGTTCGTAAGGTTCCTCTGTCACACACCAGGCACACCATTTATTCTTGAGCTTTTGTGATGTGTCTTTCTTCTGAGACAGGTTCTCACTCTGTCACCCAGGCTAGAGTGCAGTGGCATGATCTCAGCTCACTGCAGCCTCTACCTCCCTGGTTCAAGTGATTCTCCCTCCTCAGCCTCCTGAGTAGCTGGGATTACAGGCATGCGCCACCACGACCGGCTAGTTTTTCTATTTTTAGTAGAGATGGGGTTTTGCCATGTTGGCCAGGCTGGTCTTGAACTCCTGACCTCAGGTGATCCACCCACCTTGGCCTCCCAAACTGCTGGGATTACAGGCCTGAGCCACCATGCCCCTTCTGCACCTGTAACCAGACAAACTTCAACCAAGACACCTTTCCATATGTGTTCTCCCCAGACTTCCTCTTTTCCCCGAGTGGCCCTGAGACTTTGCAAAACAGCCACTGGCACCTGCTGGAACCTGGGCTGAGGAGGAGAACTTTGATTCCACACATCCTTGGCCAAACGACAACACAGACACCTTGGCCCATCCCTGATTACTTTTTTTCAAGAGGGAAAAGTTTATTGCAGGTTGGGTACACTTGTAAAAGGCAAAATCTAACAATGAGAACGAACTATAGGGCCCACCAGTTTAGAAGATGAGCAGGTAAAACAAATACACGGATTATGTACAATTATTAAAAAGAGCAGGGTGGTGGACAAAAAGGAAAAACTGCCAGCAGCCTTCCAGAAGGTTCACAGAGTATATCCAGGGAGCACCTTCCCGCCCAGTCCTGGCTGCCTGGGGCGCGCCGCCTCCTGTGGTTACCTGCCCTGCTCCAGATGAAACGCAGATGAGGAAGCAGGCACCGGGGCTCAGGTGCGGAGCTTGTTCTGCTCTGCAAGTCGCTGGCTTGCAGAGAAGCAGCCGCTGGGTGCCGCGTGTGCCAAGCCTCTCATTAAAAAACCCAGAGGGCAGGTTCACAGGCATTTCCTAACACACGTGTGGGAAGAGCTGGGGAAAACCCATAATGCCCAGGGAAGAAGTGGCTTCTCCCATCATCTGTGTACAAATGAATACCCAGCATTGTCTCCGGTGAGCCCAGCGCCCCAAGCCAAATGGCTGAGCACGCAGCATCGGGCATCTGAGCGCTTCTCAAAGCCTGCAATCCACGTCCAAAGACCAAATTGTCCTCTCAGGCGCTCACTTCTTCCATTAGAAAGCCACTCCTCTTAGCCACAGGACATCCACAAAAGGACAAATGCAATTCTAAGTCTTTTGTAAAAAAAAAAAAAAAAAAAAAAAAAAAAAAGAGAGAGAGAGAGAAAGAGAGAAAAGAAAAGAAAGGGAGCATTCTGAGTCTATTTAAATAAGGAAAAGGCCTTGGTTCATCCAAAGTGTTTCTATAAAAATGCATCGAATGCTGGAATAAAGTTGCACATTCTCCTGGTGAAGCTGTAAAATGTCCAACAAACTGAAAATGACTGGGGATGATCCGGAACGAGTCTCTCCAAACAGCTGTTGGCAGCACGGATGCAGCCTTTGATGTCTCCAGGAACCAGAAGGTAGAGCCCAGAGCACCAGGCCAGGCTCCGGCACGCCGGGCTCCGGTTCCCAGGTGGCCTGCGAAGGACCCGCGAACTCAGGCGCAGGCGGTGAGGACAGGGAGGCCTGCAGCAGGGAGGCCGGCGAGGCTGAGCAGAGGGCTGGCTTCCTGGGTGGCAGCGGGCGGCTTTGCCCGTCTGCAGGAGGCTCAGTCTCGGTGGCGGCGCCAGGTTCCTGCCCGCTCACCACCCGTGGCAGCAGGAGGACAGTTGGGGGTGGGAGATTCCGGGGGGGTGGGGGCCGGGACTGCTTCCCCAGGCACAGGGGTCTCCTCCACTGAGGGAGGACCTGGAGAGATGGGCTCCATCCCAGGCCTGCCGCCATCTGGACAGTGCTTGCTGCAGAAAATCTGCCCCTCCTTATCTAGAGCCGTATTCTGAGGAGGAAACAGCAGAGACAACACATTACCCAGGCCCAGGCTCGGGTCCCAGCTGCCACGAGCGGAGAGCACGACAGAGCATGCACGGGCCTCAGAAACAGAAGAGGAGAAATAACGCCAAGCCTCTAACAGAAGCCTCACAGGAGAGCAATGGTTTCGGGAACCCACCGGGGGAAGGGGCTGTCCGCGACCTCTGCTCCTACCCTGACCCAGGCTGGCAGCCCAGGGAACACTGGGTGTCTGTTGTCTTCTCTCGCTTTGGGCTGTGCCTGGGTTCTCACTGCTTCAGCCCAAGCCCAGACCTTAAGCTCAAAAGAATTCTGAGACAATAAGCAAACCTTACGAGGGTGCTCGGTCTTGGATAGTTTACTTTTCCAAAGAAAGTTCTCTGTCACAAATTGAAAAGTTACCCATATGTCCTGTGAATAATTAATCCTTCTAACAACCTGAGTGGCTGTGAAGTCTATAAAAGGCCCAGGAATCAGATGGAGCCATATTATCCTTTTTTGAGATCCTCCAGGATCTCCTCACCTGTCTTCTCTTCACGTGAAGCAAAGCTTCCTTATCCTGACATGTCTTGAAAGTTTTTAAATCTGCTCAGCTCTTCAAGGAACAGAGAAACCGCCACAAAGATGTGAGGCAGTCACCTTGCGTTCTGAGCCTGGCTGGGGAAGGGAGCCTGGTCCTCCTTTTTCCTTCTCTATTTCCTGCTTGTCCAGGGAAGTCCATCAAGCTGCCATCTCACTGGGCCTCCCAAAAGTGAAGGAGATGGCAGTTCCCAGGCACCTTTAGCTGAAAGGGACAATTGCCAGGAGGCATTTTGTAATCTAACTACCCTGGGGAGGGAGAGGGGAACATGCACTGGAGATTCTTTCAGTACTTTAACAACAACAAAAAACGTCTGGAGAAAATAAGAATCAACAACAGGGCTTTCTAAGATGAACTTGGGTGGCTGCCTCCAGGGCACCTGAGGCTACCTGTGGAACGGCTGCTTCTCCACCGGCCCTGCCAAGTTCAAGCTGAACAGTCATCTATTTCTGGCCAGGTGCGATGGCTCACACCCGTAATCCCAGCACTTCGGGAGGCCAGGGAGGGAAGATCACTTGAGGTCAGGAGTTTGAGACCAGTCTGGGCAACACGGAGAGACTCCATCTCCACAAAGAATTTAAAAATTAGCTGGGCATGGTGGCAGGCACCTGTAGTCCCAGCTACTTGGAGGCTGAGGCAGGAGGATGGCTGGAGCTTAGGAGTTTGAGGATACAGCAAGCTAGGATCACACCACTGCACTCTAGTCTGGGCAACAGAGCGAGACCCTGTCTCAATAAACAAAACTCCCATACCTCTACAATTTCCAAGGACAATTTCAACTACCTGGAGAAAGGGTAACGGTGGAAAACTCCACTGAAAGATGCTCCCACCGACACGGGAAGCAGAGAGCCAGCATACAGGTCTTTCCTACCACAAAAGGTCTCCTGGGTACAAGAAAACCATCCCCCCCTCCGTTATTTCTCCTTTTCTCTTCCTGTCAGGAGCACAGGGGCGTGTGCAGCAGAAGGCAGGCTGGCAGTGCAGTTAGTACATACCATGGCCTTGGACCTAGCCAGAGCGAAGCAATGCAGGCGGCGGGAGAGGCAGAAGGCAGGAGAGAAGCAGGGACAGAAACTAGACTTACTTTCAACAGAAGCAACACGAGTGAAACAGTTTTGTCTATTCTTAAATTAAGGCATAAACCCAAATCCTTCCCCAACTTCCCCCTGAAACAAGGCATAATCCCCCAGCGAAGAAGGCAATGCCCTTGAATCCGTCCCTTCTCAAGTCTGCACCACAGGCGCCGAGTGACGGCGGCTTCTCGGCATTTCCTTACGGCCACAAGATGGTCTCTCCTGGTCTCTGCAGCCGGGCGAGCCCCCCGGGGTACATGGGAGGCCGTCCTGCGTGCACCCTGCTCTGTCCTTTCTTACGCATGCTAAGGACAAGTCCAAGAAAATGGAGCTGTAATTCCACACCTCAGCCCTGCCTGAAACCAAGGCCTCGCCCATTAAATGATCTTCTCTTATCCCAAAGGCTGGCTGAGAGTACACTTACTGATACAAACTCATCTTTGGAAACGCAGCTGGAGAAAGAACAAAAGCCTTCACAAAGACACCCATCCTAAGCTGCCCTTTCCAAAAAGCCACTTTTCACCTAAGTGGGAAACAGCACTGGCAGAACGACGGGACTCCTCCCGTGCTCTCACCAGCTGTTGGTCTGGAAAGGCAGGCAGTGTGTGGCAAGCTGAGAAGTTTTAAAATGAAGTTTTCCAGGGGCGTGCTTGGCTGGCTGGAAAGGATGTGAGTAGGTACAGAAGACCCACACCAGTAAGCAGCTGAGAGCCGGACGGCGGCATGAGAAACTGAGACAAGCATGCAGGCGTGAGAGGGGCTGAGGATGGGGTGCGCTGGTCGGGCACAGCATGGTGAATACCAGGATTCTGCTTCGGGCTCTCCCACTGTCTCAGCGGGGTAAAGAAGGAAACTCTGAGGTGTCTCTCAAACTGTCAAATCAAACTGTCAAATAAAACGCAGATAACACCATCAACTTTACTTTCTTTCACCTTTATGGACCAATTCCTAGCCCATAATTTTCTCACTGAAGCCTCAGGCCCCAACTCTGGGGGTGAGAACACCAGCGTGATAGCAGATGGGAAGGTCCTATCTGTAGGTGACACAGCAGTTGTCTGATGATTCAACCTCCAGTCGGTTGACACTATTTCCACTATCATTTGTATCTGCAGAAAACCAGGTTGGCCCCACAGTCTCAGTTATGAGTACCAGGGAGAGTCATTTTGAGGTTATTTTTAATATAAAAACACTTAAAACTGTTCCCGAAGACAGGACACACAGATGCACAGTGACGTGAGGAGGATGAGGACGAGGAGGACGATACAGCAGCGTCGCGAGTTCCCCCACACAACCGTGCCCCGGGCCGGGTCCTGCGCCAGGGGAGGACCAGCAGCAGGCCTTCCTCTCCCGCTTTTGGGGACAGCCCAAAATTCACAGGCTGGTGTTTTGGCCATCGAGAATGGGTGCCACCAGAGACAAGCCTGATTGAATTTTCCTGCAGGTCCTGAATGGGATCATGACATCAGCAGTTCCCCCGAGCTAACAGCCCGCAGAGTTGTGTAGGGAACACGGGGTTAGAGGGACACCCTGCCAACATGCGCAGAGTGACTACCGAACACACGTAAACACACAACATTCACAATCGCCATCAGAACTGCAAACAAAAGAGGGTTGTTCGTTTACACAAACACCCTGTCAGAGCCCAGGGGTTTGTTTTTTGACTGTTGAACTCCTCATCAGCAAATGGGAAATGGTATTTGTAAACCACACAACATAGGTTCTGTCTAAGGGGGTCTAAGCGTCATTATCCAGGACAGAGCCTGTAGAACGGCTAATCACTCCAGAACATCAGCTCAGAGCCAGACAGAGCGAGGCCGGGCACAGGCCTACGGCCGCTGATTCCTATCTGAGCCCCTGAGTCAAAAAGTGACCCCAGCAACGACTCCCTTCACAGTCTCTGAGCAAACTCTGCGAAGCCCTGGGCACAGGGTGGTTAAAGGTTCTTCCTCTCAGAAGACTTCATATGGTTAGTAAATTCCGATCCCAACCAGTCTCTCAAGGTTTTTCATGACATGTTGAGTATGCCAATTTTTAATGTTTTATTCTTCTAAATTTTCCAAGAAGCTGCCTCACAACGCAGCGCACGGCGAGGCTATGTACCACTGAGCCCATCCATCAATGCTAGCTCTCGCAAGGGAAGCGCTGGAAACATTCTCGTGCTGTTGGCTCAATCAGGATGGTTCTTTTCAAAGTGTCTACGCTGTAATTCTTTGACAACTCGGACTTTCTCAGGCTTTCAGCAAAACACTGCTAAAATTCAAGGGAAACCACAACTCAAAAGGTCTTCCCACTGCTTTGGCACAGAGCACCCCCAAAGTCCTGCAAGCCATCAAAAGACTCAGCTTGCAAACTCAGGCTCTGTCTGGAGAGAGATGGAGAGCACCCTTTCTGGCAGGGGAGCAGCTGGGGAGCTGCAAGGACACACAGAGAGCAGCCACTTCAATGCAGCCACCCCGGGGACAGAAGAGAATGACGCCCAGTGGGTGCTGAGAACCTGGTGGATGCTCAATCCATGTAACAGAGTGCTGCATGCTCGT